GCCCCGCCAAGCTGCACTGAGTGCAGCCTGCCTTCCACCTGCTGAGGCTGGCTGCACAGTGGCTCCCCTTTGTGCACCACCACAGAGCCTGCACTGACTTAGTGCAGGTCAGGTCTGGGCAGGTGGCTGGGATTTCGCTTTTGAATATGGCACAGGGATTAGAAATGGACCAATCAGATTAGAGCTCTGATGGACAAACCAGGTGTGAGCTCTCACCAGTTCCATTCAATGTTTTGAGTCCATTGAGGAATTGAAAATGGAGCAATCTGATTGGTGCTTAGTAAGCACCAATCAAACAGCTAGAATTGAAAATAGTCCAATCGGACTTGAAAGGTAGGGATCCTCAAGAGGCTATAAGCAGGGCTATAAGGGCAGGAGTCAGATTTAGCCATTAGTCTGAAAGCTTCAGGAAAGAAACATTGAGCAGAGGGCTGCAGACACATTTGTCAAGACTTTGAGGCCTCTGTAGAATCCCAGACCTCTTCAGACCTTTGCAGAGACCTAGCTGCTACATATGCCTCTGGTCCTGCCTCTGACATTGCCTGTAAAGAGCACCATCAGCCTACCTATTATCTCTAAAAAAGTGGTTTGCTATTGGTGTTTGCCAACGGTTTACAAAGAGCTGTAACACTGGTGTCTCTGGCACCAACTCCTGGTGCCCAGTGTTGACCAACTTTATTGCCCAGCACTGCTGATCTGTGGTTGGCACTGCTACTGACTTTTGTCAGGCCACCTCAGAGATCTATCACCACTTTTGATCCTTTGGCACCACCTCCCTAGTGCTATTGCATCTGGTACTATCTGGTCTGGCATAGGATGCTGTCCAGCTTGGCCTTTGGACTGCTGGCATGTATTGCTATGGTATCACCTCAGCAACCCCACCTATGATCACCTCTAGATGTCATTGTGAGTTGCATCCTGATCTACTGCTGAGCCTGCCACCAGCTCCAGGCTCTTGTCAAAGGGACAGCACCATTTTGTATAAGCAGCATTTGTTTTAGACTACTGGACTCTCTGGGGTAGGATAGATGGCCATCTGTAGCCTTCCTTCTTCCCAATCTCCTCTTTGATAGTAAACCCCATTTTTGTTGCACCCTGAGCCTGAGTGATGTCTTGTAATTGTGAGTGCAAGAGTGAGAACCCATAGACAGTGGCCTCTCCCCCACCTTGGCCGCGTTTTATAACCAGGTAAAACTTGGAAACGTTATGTTAAGTGAAAGAAACAAGACACAAAAAAACTGCATACTTCATAATCTCATTTTCACTAAATATCCAGAATAGACAAATCTTCAGAGACAGAAATTAAATTGCCATGTGCTGAGGGAAAGCAGTGATGGTAGTGAGTGGTAACTGCTGTAGAGATACTTATTGGGATGATAAAAAATGTGCTAGAATGAGATAGAGGAAATTGTTGGAGCTCAGGAGAGCATACCTCCACCCCTCTGGGTTTTTCTTGTTCAGGAAGAGCAAACGAATTACCATGAGACAGATTAGTAGGAGAAAAGATCAGATTTAATTACATACGTATGGATAATTTACAAAGCTGTAAATTCTAAAGTAGATGGAATAAACTATGGGTTATAGCCTATGCTCGGGAATGGGTTAGGAATATGTGGCATTGAGGAGAGGATGACTTCATATAACAAAACTTTGCTTCTAGAATTGTAACCTATCTTCAGTAGACTTCTGCAACAAAATGTTTATTTCAGGAGATATTCCTAAATCTAGGTCATTTGCATTCTTGAATTCGATTAAAGTTTCTCTAAAGGCCCACAGGACTGCCATATACCTACATATATTGAAAAAAGCCTACTCTGGACATCATGGAGAAAACAGCATGGACATTTTTGGGAAATCAATTCTACAGAATGATAGCACAATTTTTCAAATATTATTGAAACATAGAGTAAATTTTATGGCCTATCAATTATATACAGTAAAAGATAACACAATAAAAATTGTACAAAACAATCACATATATATAAAACAAATCACTTGGCTAAATTTGCTTAACAGGCCAGAGATTACCTACCCATACCCTATATTAGTGATTCTTTCCCCAGTGTAGCCTTTAAAGCCTCAGAATCTGCTAGAATCTGTTCTCTACAATACTGATCAGTTATTCTAGCATGGTATTTGGTGCTCAGTAGGTTATTCTAGTGACAGCCAGGCTGGAGCAAAATTAGTCTATAACAGTGTTTCTACCTTCAGATTTAATTGATATCTTTAGTAAACCATTGTGTTACACAGTCTAATGGCCTGCCAAAGATGTCCATATCTGAAACCCAGCAACACGAGAATGTGGTACCTTATATGGCAAAAGGGACTTTTGCAATTGTGGTTAATTAAAAACATAGGAATGGGGAATTTATCTTGGATTAGATGTGTGACTAAAGTTAATCTCATGGGTCCTTAAAAGTAGAAATCCTTTTTTGTCTGTAGGCAGAGGGAGATCTGACTATAGAAGGAAAGTGGAAGGAATACAACTGAATTGATTTTAAGATGAGGAGGGGGCCTCCCCGGTGGTGCAGTGGGTTGAGCACAGCATGAGTAGCTGTCCGCACCCTCTGCAGTGCAGGTTGGATTCATGGCCAGCCAGGAAAATTCCTACATGTGCGGCGCAGACCTCTCCTGCCGCGCCCTCTGTTCCCCTCAGCTCCCCTCAGCTCCCCTCAGCAGTGTATTTCAGTCAGTCAGTCTGCCTTTTCTGCTCCCCACTCTGTCTCTGGTGAATCCTCTCACCCTCTCGAGCCTCTGGCCTGTACCCCAGTTCTTGTATAAAAATAAATAAATCGTTTAAAAAAAATAGATGGGGAGGAAAGAAGCCATGAACTAAGAAATGTGGATGGATTCTTGAAGCTGGGAAAAGCGAGTTAACAGCTTTTTAAAACCCTAGACCTTCCAAAAGGAGTGTAACCTTGTTGGTACCTTAATTTCAACTCATATTGAACTTACAAACTTTAACCTTAAGAGAAGTATTGTTTTAAGTCAAAATAAGGTTGAATTTTAGATGAATAGATTTTTTTTTCTTCAATTTTTTAGTGTGTCACATGTAATCATCTGGGTCATATTTATACTAAATACTTATGTCTTTTTAGCCTCAAGTCAAATTTAATTGAATCTTTTGCAATGTATCTGGTGACCCCCAATAGTGTGTTTTAATTTAAAAAAATCAGCTAAAAGGCAATGTTCCTGGAATATGAGTTTAAATAGCTCTGTTGAAGTTTCTAATCATGCACATAAAATACACATATAAACAACACACTTAGTGCCATAGAAAGCCTTACTTAAGTAATAAATTTAAAAAATAGAATGTTCAGCTAAAGTTAATTTTGAATAATTTCCTGTGTAAATATAGATACTTAAATCCTCAAAATTTCTGGAAAAACACTTCACTTTTTATCATAAGCACTTGGCAGACATATATTGTTAGTCTATACTACTGGGACTTTTAATATTTGCTTTTCCTGGTTAAAAAAACTCCAGATGAGAGCACAAGTAATTAATCACTAACTTCATTAACATAGACTCAAATTTGCACTTTATTTCTCAAAAAATTAATTAAAGAGTGAAAAAATATTAAAGTCATATATAATGTAAATGTGGTTTCCTATTTGGAGATTTAAGTCACTAGAATCATTTTACCTCAGGGAAATGGGTGATGGAATTTTAAAAGTGAGAATATAAATCAACAGTCTTGTCATTTTCCTGAAAGACTACTACACTAATGACAGCAATTATTTTTAAAGGACTGTTTTGAAATGTGTGGAATTGAACTTTAATAATTTAGCTGTCTCTTTATAAATGTGCCCTCCTTCACAGATGAGAATGAAGTTGCTTCTCCAATCTCATCAGCAGCGATAGGTTGCACTAATTCATCCCTGCAAACTGTCCCAGTTCTTTAGGCGAAAAGCACATAGGGAATGCAGACTTGTTGGGATTAGCTAGATATGTTGTAACAGCACCTTAGAAATAAATGAGGAGCCCCAAACTTTGATTCCTTTAGAATCACAATATTTTCTTTCAGTTCACAGATTCAACCATTTCCTCCAACATGTCAAAAGTCTTTCATATTATAGATTTAACAAGTCAATTGAAGTGGAGGTATATGAATATGTTGATCTTGTGAGGCTAGACATAAAGTCTGCTCAGTTATACATAATCGTACTTGGGATTTTTTGACTTTAAATTGTATATGTGTTATTGAAGATTGCATTGTATCTTACATTTGTTTGCAAAGTTGGGAGTAGCTCTTGTCTTAAAGCAAAAATATTTTTTCTTGTCATTTGCATAATAAGAAGCGTGACTACTGAAAAATAATTTCTTATACAGAAAGTAATACCTCTGTACTCTTCCTATTATTTATAACATATTCTATAATGATATAGCATATATATTCATTTACAACATATATATATATCACATAACACTATTATAGTCTTATCCTATAGTTTAAGGCAGACATCAGCACCATTTTTTTGCAATCGATAAGTTTGCAAATATTTTCCATTTTATGACATATAAGATCTCAGTTACAACTCCTCAACTCTATTATCACACTAAAGAAGTGATAGAGATATGTAAATCTGAACGATAATGACTGTAACTGTATTCGATTTACTTTATTTACAAATACAAGTAATGTGCTAGATTTGCCCTGTAGGCTGTAATGTTTACCTCAGTATAAGGTATTGTCTTTTTGGAAGGCCTTGGTCGATTTCAAACCTGTTGGTAAAAAATATAAGGAATCATTACCTTTGTTTCTCAATTTCTTGTGCATTGTCTCATCATATTTTCTCTTAGTTGTTTGAAGACTGGGAAAAGTACAGAATATATTTTTTGGGGGGAGCTTTTCCATTGTATTCATGAGCAGGGAGCAAGCCATCCCTCCACCTTGACGGCCCCGGGTCTTGTCAGGCCTAGCACAGGGCGTCGGGGGGACCAGCACCCGCTTCTTGAGGATGAGGTTCCCGTAGAGGGCCGTGTCCCCTATTGCCACAACAGCAAAGGCCTTCTTGGCCCGTTAGTAAAACGCAAACCTCTCGATCTTGGCCAGCTGGCTCGTACAGCCCGCCTTGCAGAGGATGGACCGGTAGCTCCCCCACACGGGGGTCTGAAGGCCCCTCTCCTTGTCAGTGGGCACCAGCTCCATGACAGCGGCCGGGCTCTCCACGTAGCTGTCCAGGGGTAGCAGCTGCAGCACGGCCTCCAGGAGCTGGGGGATGCCCAGGCAGTCTGCGCGGATCTCCTGTGGGTCGCACCGGCAGACGGAGGACATGGGGAAGTTCACATCTGCGAGCACGATCTCGTCCCTGTGCCCCATGCGCGCCAGCTTGTAGAGCAGCTTGGGGGACAGCAGCGCGAGGACACCCTTCAGCACCACCGGGACACCCTTCAGCACCACCAAGGTCACGGGAGGTCGGGCCCGGAGTGGGCGGGGCCTCGGTCCAGAATATTTTTTGAGAGAGGAAAAAATAATTTCAAGAAGAAAGCAATATTCCACAAATTGTGCCCTAATGAATGTTAGTTATGTAGAAAAATGAACAGATAACATAATAAAATGAAAAACAGAAAATATTAATATAAATAAAAAGGATCAATTATGATGGCAAAACTCAAAGTTTAAAAAGTTAATTTAATTTCATGGTCTAAGATGCTTAATATGTTAATGTATAATGTAGATATCTGATATTGGATGATCATAAAAATTATTTCCCAAATAGAACCATAATTTTACAGTACTTCACTACCAATAAGAGAATCCATAAAAGTAGGTTTAGGCTTTTGTTCTAGGAACATGTGTGCACTTGATGAATTGTACTTTCCAAATTGTCATTTTATTGTTGTTTCTGTATAAACCCACTTTGGTGTGAAGTAACTGCCTGGTTTTTGTGGGCTGTATCAGGGAGCTTTTAAATTTTCCTTTGAACAAATATTATTGTTTGATAGTTGTTTTTAGTAGAGATGGTTCTTTTTAGTAGAGTCTTAACCACATAATTCTTAAAATTGCCTTTGGAAAATTGAAAGTATGTAATAAAAATTTTAAGTATTTATCTATTATAATTTTATTAAAATGTTTATCATATTGATAAGAAAAGGTTTTTTTTCTTCTCTTTCCACATCTTTTCATTCCTCATAGATTTATTGGACAGCTAAGCACTGAGGCTTCAATGAGTTTCTAGATTCGGAATTGGACACACTATTTTTCTAAAATTTTTTCTGCTACTCTCTAGATTCCAGGCCTTTACCATTTTCTCTAATTGTTCACCATGTCTGATAAAGGCTAATTCTTCTTAAATATTGTGTCATTAGCTCCATAATTACCATCACTACATTTTGCCCACTGCCCTGTGTAATTATTCATTTTATTTCCTAGGTCTGTAGAGGAAAATAATTATTCTAATACCCACAAATGTATTTAGAAATAATATTAAATTATCATGTATGTATTTTAATTTTAAATTTTGTGAAACTAAATTATCCAAATTCCTAACCCCATTTTAACTTAATATAATATTGCTCTCATGCCCTATTTTAAAGATAATACATTTATCTCTATGTCCCTTTATCTATTATTGTATGGTCTCTTTTACTGCTTTTATTGCTTCTCATTTTTCAGATGTTCATTTCCATACTTTTATGTATATATCAATGGCCTAGAATTTCTGACTATTTTAAGAAGTTAGTCCACGTATTTAATCATTGAATCATAGCTTTAAGGTAATTATTATAGCTACAGAGACATTATTTTAGCTGTGCTTAATTTAAAAATATAAGAAGTTTAGGGGGATGGTTACAGATTCTCTCAGAACTCAAGTCTCAAGTTTCCGTGTTTATACTGCATTGCAATCTTTTATCCTAGAAATACAATGTAGAATAAATTTTGGTGATGGAAATAGTACCAAGCAGCTACATTTGTGGAGTCCCTAGTAAGTGCCAGACATCATACTTATATTCATTATAAGCCTTGCAAACACACTACAAGATTGATACTATACTTAATACAGAAAATTGAGAATCAAAGAAATTAAGTACTATCTATCTGGAAAATCCTACTCTGAATTCAGATTTGTCTGATTCAATCTCATCTTTTCCACCATAACTTACTGCCTTCCTGTGTATTTTGAAAAGAACTAGTTTTCATGGCTATATAAGAGGTGAGTAATTTTTAATGCAAATTTTGTGTTTGGTATTGCTTATACATACAATACACTGTCAAAGAAATACTAATCTTTAGATTAAAAGAACCCTCAGAACTCTAAATTAGTAGAAAATAGGGAGGATTTGTTTGATGGGTTCATAGTATATAAAGAAGTTTGCTCATAATGCCTAATAAACTTTTGACCTTTTGACAAATTTCTTATATTACTAAAATCTAGGGAAATGATGTTTTCAAATATTTACTTACAATAACACTAATTTTTGGAAGATTTTCTTTCAAAATGTAGTGTTTGAAACATAAATCTTATTGCACCATCTGATCTAGATTTTGTAATTTTTAAGAAAATGTCAAGAAGGTAAGAGATATAATGTATGTTGCAACTCTGTCCCAATTAATTAATAACCAGCTAAATTTATCATGAAGAATATATATTTTATATACTGGCTCATTATCCAAGTAAAACATGGTATCCTCTAATATAAAGACTCTCATTTTGAAAATCCCGTGTTTCTACTTTACGTTAATAAAAAGCATAGATATCAGATTTTTGTAGAATGATTGAGTTCCAAATGATGGTAATTTAAGGGAAACAGCTACCCAATGTATCTCTCTGCTGAACTATTCAGTATCAGTAATGATAACAAAACTTCAATAACCTGACCATAAAAATAGATGTCAATATTACTTGTTAATAATGACATTTGCTATTTCACTAGAATTAGTCTTTTGGGCTGAACTGAGGTTGCTTAAGTCTTTAATGATGTTTTCAGAATGTTAAAAACCTGTAAAAAATCTAAATTAATCCACATTCATCTCAAGACTGGAGAGGTATGTTGTTCTGTTCACCTGCATGCGATGTGGTATCTGCTTGGCCACTTAGATGCACAAATGCTCAGGTGCTGCTGAGATAAGCAAGATTTATACTTGATTTTCTGAGATAATACTACAGACTGAAACCTTGCTGGGTATGAGACTGGTCAGTAGAAATGCACACAATTCTGGGATTTTTCCATGATTCTAGAAAATATTTTAGAGTATTCAGCATCATTCTATCAATATTTTTTTTAAATGTCCTTATGTTTCTTCCACAATAACTATGCTTGAAGAAGTTATTGTGTAGAAAATATCCGAGTAAAAAACATCCAACATTGGACCAAGCCAAAATGTAGCCTACTTTTCCAGACCCTTTTTGCAGGATATAAATTTGTGATGATGATGATTATGATGATGATAATAATGTGTTTCCACATACAGAAGGAAATCATAAAGTCTAATAAAATAAAGCATGTGAATCTACAGCATATTTAAAAAAAAAAGATGAAAACATTGGTGTTATAGCAACTCTTTTAGAAAGAGATTGTTAGTAAATAAAATATATCAATGCCAGTTTTCAATTACTGTGTTTAGTTTAGGTTAATGACAACAGAGTAATTTTATTCAAAAGGTCAGTATTAAATAGCAAATGTCAGTAACATGAGATCTAGCAGATAACCACATTGGATATACAGTTTGGAGAAAATCTATGAATGTCAATTATACTACTTTCAATTTTTAAATGTTTAGAAATAATTAGGGGCTATAGATGAGTGGGAATTTTATAACCAATTTTCCCTCAACAATGAAAAGAGAATCTTGCAAATCTCTTGAGGGATGTCTGCGAATTAATGTTATGTAGTATTAAATTTAATTTACTTTTTCCTTACCATTTTAGTTCCTGAAAACTGCTGACTTTATATAGCCAACTTTGGAGGTAGATATTGTGGTTGTTTTATATAAAATATGAGCTACATGGGCACATAGGATATTCATTGCCGAAGATTCTGCAGTAATAAGTGGTGTGTAGGTAGCATTGCTCTTTGCATGAGGTGCATTCTGTCTCTGTCAATTTATGCAGTCTATGTAGAGTGATGTTTGGCTTCTAATTAGGTAAGACATGACATATGTATTAAATGGTCAAACAGATGACTCTAAAAAATATAATATTGCTTTCATTTAAAAATTTTGCAAAGATAGGCAAGTCCTGAAATGTATATGCTTTCCTACTACTAAGTTCAATTTGGAGCCAATTTCTAAATTCCTCAGAAAAGCAGAAAATGTCTTTACAGAGAAATATCCAGACCTGACATTTGGAGAATAATTAGTACATTTCAACTAGATGAAATAAGAAGAGATGAGTTTGCAGCTGTCTTGAGTGATTTTTGATTTTTGATAGTCATCAGTTCAGTAAATTGCATAGTAGTTAATGGATCTGGAACATACATCCCTGGGACTAATTTCAAATGTCATACTCTTAAAGAGTAAGCTGTATATTCTCCTCTCCAGACTTACTTACGACTTGATATCTCTAAAATAAAGTTCTGTAAAAGAGCATCAGGCAATGACAATAGTTTAAAACACTGAGGTCAAAATGAAAAATATTTCATGACAAGATCACATTATTTACACAGTTCACAATTGTCCTGTGTGTAATCATTGTAAGATTCTCCCCAAATAAACACAGTAAAAATATGCTATTTTAGTATTACAATAGAAGGTATATTATTTGGTATTTACCCATGAAATATGGAACATTCAAAGTCATTCAAGAATTTGAAAGAACTGGAGATAAAAATGACAATTTTATTTTTTAAAAATATTTATTTATTTATTTATGCATACAAGAACTGGGGTGTATACCTGAGGTGCTGGGGGTGATAGAATTCACCAGAGACAGAGTGGGGAGCAGAACAGGCAGTCTGACTGAAATACACTGCTGAGGGGAGCAGTGGATAAGTCAGGAAAGGTCTGCTGCACCATGTAGGCTGCACCCTTGCTGGTGGGCGATTGAACTCATACTATAGTAGCTGGTGATAGTTTGATAGCTTGATAGTGCTGTCCTGCGCCACCAAGGAGGCCCCAAAAATGACAACTTTAAAGTATTTAGCATAATTTCTCTCCCACATTCGGCCATGTCTCAAGCTAAAGGTGAGAGTTGCTTTCAGCCTGGGCTAATGTATTCTGGTCTACCCAGTACCAATGTGCTATATTTACTCATATTTACTCAATGTGCTATATTTACTATATTTACTGTTGCCTTTACTGGGAAATTTGCTGCCTCATAGCTTTTATCGGCTCAAATGGTATATATGATATTCATCATTCTGGTCAAATTCCAAAGCCTC